AGCGACTTCACTGTCGTTCGGACCACTTCACAAACTCCAATGATAACCGCACCAGACGAATCAGACGCAAACGCAGTAGTAGCGACAGGCCACCGTCTAAGATCATCCGACATCAATGCTTACGAAAACGACACTTCATTTTCTTCTTCATCCTCTTATTCAAACGCCGTAGCCGCTTCTGCCGCCGCAGTCTCTAGCTACGGTGGCTCAGCCGCGTTTTCGGCGGTTGCCACGTGTCAACAAGGTGTTGGTGGGTTTGATGATGCTGATATGGATGGTGTTAATGTTATTAGGTTTGGAGCAAACCCTACTCGTGACGTGTCGCTCACGCTTGGTCTACGCCATGCTGACAATATGCCTGATAAGGACCCTTCTTTTTGCGTTAGAGAGTTTGGGGGATTTTAGTTGGCATTTTGTTACTCACATTTAATTAATTAATTATAGTTTGTATTTTTTGGATAAAAAAAAATATATTGAATCTTTTGAAAGAATACCTTTTTTTAGTTTAGACATCTTTTCTTTTAGTTTTGTTTTTCCTCTCGTACGTGAACATAACAATACAATAACAGCATAATGTAATTGCACAATCTATTGTTATATAGACTTTATTTTTGGTTATATAATTTCTCAAGATTTCGTTAATTATTTCACAATTCCAATGATTTTTTTTTAATGTCACTAATTATACTTTTTATACGTTCAATTAAAATTTTAATTTAACAAATGGGCCTACACGGGCCTAGGACAGGGGTTTTGATGCAGCCAAGACACACTCCTCTGTTTTCCTTTTAACTTTTGGTTTTAGGTCGATATTTCGGAGAATTCCTATTTCGATTTGTATTGTTATTTCTTACAAACTCTTATAAGAGAAATCTCTCTGTTTTTCCATATAGATATAACTTTCTTGAACTCTTTGAAGATTATCAAGCAACTATGCAAGAAACCACAGTAGCTCCATCAATCCAACAAGCCATGCCTGGATTGATCGAGGCAAACGCGGCGATTAACAATGCACAACGCAGAGATCGCAACAACCCTCGATTCAATGTTGCTCTGAAATCAGATGCAGAGGATAAAGGAAAACCTCAAGTTGACTTGCCTGGTGCAGAAATTGGAAAGGTCCGTCTCCGGTTTGCTCCATAACCGAGCGGTTTTCTTCACATTGGACACGCCAAGGCCGCCTTGCTGAACAAGTATTTCGCAGACCGTTACCAAGGGGAACTGATTCTACGTTTTGATGATACTAACCCTGCAAAAGAAAGCAATGAGTTTGTAGATAATCTCATAAAAGATGTTGGTACCTTAGGGATCAAGTATAAGAAAGTGACATACACTTCTGATTATTTCCCTGACCTAATGAAAATGGCTATAAACTTATGCGTGAAGGTAAAGCATACGTTGACGACACACCGAAGGAACATATGAAGACAGAGAGGGATAATGGTATTGATTCAAAATGTAGGAATCATAGCGTCGAGGAGAATTTGAAGCTATGGGAGGAAATGATTAAGGGAACTGAGAGAGGTTTACAGTGCTGTGTTCGCGGGGAATTAGATATGCAAGACCCTAACAAAGCTGTGCGAGACCCGGTTTATTATCGAAGCAACCTTATGCCTCACCACCGTATTGGGGATAAGTATAAGATATATCCAACATATGACTTTGCTTGTCCGTTTGTCGATTTCCTTGAAGATATAACACATGCTCTTCGGTCTAGCGAGTACCATGACCGGAATGCACAGTACTCTAGAGTTCAAGACGACATGGGAATGCGCAGAGTTCAAATATATGAATTCAGCCGGTTAAACTTGGTTTACACTCTTCTTAGTAAGCGTAAGCTTCTCTGGTTTGTCAATCAGAGAATGGTTGACGGGTGGGATGATCCACGCTTCCCTACAGTCCAAGGAATTGCTCGTAGAGGTTTAAAAATTGAGGCGCTAATACAATTCATTCTCGAGCAGGAGAATGAATGAAATTTTCTTCTTCTCATTATTTGTTGCTAGTCTCTTTCAAATGCTCTTGAGGCTAATGTGATTTTTTTTACGTTTCAGGGGGCTTCAAAGAATCTAAATCTAATGGAATGGGACAAAATTTGGTCTATCAACAAGAAAATAATCGATCCGGTTTGTCCGAGGCATACGGCTGTGATTGAAAAGGGACGTGTACTACTGACCTTAACGAACGGTCCTAATGAGCCATTTGTCCGGTTAATACCAAAACACAAGAAATTCAAAGGAGCTGGAGAGAAAGCGACCACATTCACTAAGGGGATTTGGATCGAGGGAGCTGATGCGAGCGCTATATCTGTCGATGAGGAAGTAACTTTGATGGATTGGGGAAATGCTATAGTAAAGGAAATCATCAAGGACAGTGAGGGTCGTATCACGGCGTTACACGGTGTTCTGAATCTCCAAGGATCTGTCAAGACTACGAAGTTGTAGCTCACGTGGCTTCCCGACACTAATGAATTGATCAATCTCACGTTAACAGATTTTGATTATCTGATAACC